CACTGTGGGTGACCTTGTATCAGTTTATTAATTCCTAACTGTCACATACATGTAACAACTCCCTGTTAAACTGTCTAGGGGACAGATTTTTTTACTGCTCTAAACAGTAATTCAGATGTGTCTGTATAATTGTACAGAGCCCTACACACATTTAGTCCAGATGTGTTTACACATCTTTAAAGAGATGTGTTTGAGAAACTTTAAAATTCCAGATATATCTTTCTCTTTAGAACGCCATGTCTGTAGAAGTCCAGATGTGTCTACAGTATGTATTGCTATAGAATGTATTTTTTAAACAACTCCACTTGTATGTAGTGTATGCATGTTTATAGAACTCCATATGTCTGGCTATCAGATGTGTAAACATACTGTTTGTCTTCACAACTAAATGTGTCCACCTATGTCTACAAAACTCCAGATGTGTCTGCATACTTCGATAGATCTCTGTCCAGATGTGTCTACAAATGCCAACTAATCTCCAGATGCATCTTCTTTGCCCAAAGAACTCCATATGTGTAAGAAAATGTCTCAAAATGTGACTGTTAACCTTTATATAACTATGGATGTGTTTACATACTGTATATTTGTGAAACTTCAGATGTGTTGCTATATTTCTAAAAAGCCCAAGGTGTGTTCAGGTATTTCTCCAGAGCTCCAGATGTCTTTATATCTTTATAGAACTCCAGATGTGACTGTATTATTATTGAACCCCAGATATGAAAATGTATTGCCTGTGATTATTTATATAACTCAAAATGTTTTTACATATTTCTACAGATTTCCAGATGTATTTATGTTTGTAAATACCTGTCTATGTCTAAAGAACTCCAGTTGTAGACAGGTGATAAATGAAAGGAAAAACCTGAATAAATGAGTGGTCCCTTCCAGGACAGTACCCCCATCAACAGGACACACGGGGTCACTGGATGGTCTGGATGAGTATGAGAATGATATGAGTCATATACTGTGGCCTTCACATTCACTAGCTCTCAACCCAGTTGAGCAGCTATGGGAGATGCATCTCCACCACCATCACATGAGGGAATATCTGTTGGAAGAATGGTGTGCATCCCTCCAGTAGAGTTGGAGAGTCAATGCCAAAGTGCATTGAAGCTGTTCTGGTGGCACATGGTGGCCCAACACCTTACTGAGACTCTTTGTGTTGGTTTTTCCTTTCATTTGTTACCTGTCTTCATATATTTCTGCAAAATTGATGTGTACATTTATTTCTGTGGAACCCTGTGTGTCTGAACACACGTTCTTTGTCCAAATTCTGACTCTACATGACTACAGGTTTACTTACTGTAACACAGACTTCAGTAATTCCTAAAACACTTTTAACACTATTAACACAAACATACCTTTTTCCATGTATATTGGAAATTGGTACTTTTATGAGGTTTCAAAAAAATACTAAAGCATTCCTCGCAAATCTCAACACAACCCTGTATGTAACTAGTACATTAATAAATCAGTGCACTTATAGAAGCCTAAGATCCCATCTTTCTCTCAATCTCTCTGACTCCTCCACCGTCTTGACATGCCCTTTTCTTTCCTTGTTCATCTCTCTCTGCCCTCATTTATTTCTCTTTCTGCTTCATTCCTTTTTCCATGAGCTTTCAAATCAAATACAGTATCTTTTCTCTCTCTCCCCCTCGCTATTTCTTGCTCTCCTTAATCTATATCCAAACTTCATCTCCCCTCACTTGCTCTTTTTCGTCATCTCTCCTTCCTGTCTTAAAGAAATCCATCAAGGACAAGTGTAAGTAAAAAATAATGTTAACTTGAAAAGTTTCACTATAAAAACCCCTAATGAAGATTTTTTTTAAAAAGAGCTGAGCTGAGTGGTCTATGCTGCTTGTTTTTCCTGTGACTATCATCGCATCATCAGGAGTGAAAAACCTCAGAAATGTGACATTTTTATGAGAGTAATAAAGGATTTATGTCAGCTGCAGGCTGCTGTGTGAGCCGAGGAGGGCTGGTTGTTTAATTCATAAGATGAAACTTGGCTGAGAGTTGGATGTCTTTCATTTATCTCACTTCTGCAGCACATAGTCTACAGGAAGATCTAATGAGTCACTCTCACACGCACACACACACACACACACACACACATATTCAAACTTCTACCTTTGTGAGGACACTCATTGACATAATGCATTCCCTAGCCCCTTATCCTAACACTTAACCGTCAGAATTAAATATCTAACACCTAACCCAAACCTGAAATCTAAAACCAAGTCTTAAACCCTCAAAAAGCTGTTTCAGAAAGTGAGGACCACCCAAAATGTCCTCACTCTGTAGCTAAATAAATAAATACTATTTAAATTCCTCACTATGTAGCAAGTACAAGAACACACACATGCACAGTAATCACAATGAGTGTAAGGTATCACCTACAAACCATATATAAATATATACACATAGTTCCCATGTGACACACACAACAGGCAGACTGTATTTGATATACTGTTGTATGTGATCCGTTTCCTCAGCATAAATATTTCAGATTGAGACCTAAACTCTTTTCTCCTAAATCAAAACTACAACTTTTTCAAGGCCTCACAAACATCAGCTCAAATGTAGCTGGGATAGGCAGTACACACAAAGTCCAGCAGGAACCCACTACAGTACTTCTTTTGCCACTGCATTATTCCATTACTGCTGAAACAGCTCTTGGCACTGGTCTAATACTAAAGCCACTCTTACTGCTACTACAGCTGCTGCAATTACTATTAATAATTATAGGTACTCCTGGTGGTAATGATAACAGCATCACTGATATTTCTTATGTTGGAAATGTTACTACCGTCACCACCATAATAATACTATGGCTGCATCACATTTGTACACAGTGCATTCCCAGTACATGACACTTCTCCGTATCGAGACACAGCCATCGTGTTCTGCACTGATATGGAACATGTTGTTATATCTGCTACATATCACAGCGTTGTACGTGAATGCATCATCAGTGTGCTGTAAAGATGGACCGATTCCTGTGGTTATTATCAGTGACTTGGATGTGATCTACCTGTCAGTGATCGAGTGACGGCACTCTCATACAGAGGAACCCCCTCTCCGGCATTATTGAAGGCCTTCAAGGAAATCACATAGTGCGAGCTTGGCTCTAGAAGAGAGAGAGAGTGAGATATTTTAAATTTTATTGCACCCACACAACATAGTACATTATCACTTAGAGATTTAACTGTAGATATAACTTGTTTTTTATACTTTCTTTCTTTCTTTCTTATTGAATTTAAGATAAAGGTCAATGGTCCAAAGTTAGCCCAATAACATACTATTACTTACTATGAACATCACAGGCCTCATTTTTCATCACCCATATTACAGTCAACATATTTTCATAGTTATGGTAACTTGGTCCTGAGAACTGTCTTGTTTCGGCCTGTTCACTGTGAAGGCCCAGACACGCGTCTTTAGGTGTATAAGCTGAGATGTGCCTCCCCAAACCATTTCATGTGGCCCTGTGTTTGAGTTTAGGGTGCTCTTTGTCTGGCAAGACAGGAATAAATGTTATGTCTCTTGTTGTTGTAGTCTTTTTAGCATGTTCATTGTTCATGGGTGGATGCAGCCCAGTTTCAGATTTTTGTCTGTCATGGACACTGCGTCTTATGACTGACTTGCTTGACAGTGGTATCATAAATAACAATTTTAGAAAAAACGGCTTAAGATGACCACCAGTCAATAATTAAACTATGCTAATTGACAGTGTTTGATGTCTGAGAACTGACAGTAGAGTGCAGCTACTTTGTTCCACTGTGACAACGAAAGAGTGAACGTTTCTTTTTCCAGGTTTTAAGGATGTGAGTTCTTCGCTTCAGGCCTGACTTGACTCTATCACATGAAGAAGCATGACTGCAGACATTTGAGCTGATTGTCATGCAGTGGCTTGTTCTGCTGCTGCTTTTCACTCTTGGTGTGATGATGCTGCATGGAAAGAACATGTAGCATCAATCCCTCACATCAGTTAAACAAACACACTCACTCTGCTCCCCAGGCCCCTCGACACATGAATTAATGATGACTATGAATTATAAATGCCTTGTACATATGTGTGCTTGCTCCCCTGTGTGCATGTAACACAATGGCTAGATTTAATTTTTTCATTACTTCTCCATTATGAGGCCTGAGATGGGATATATATATATATATCTGGGATACACACACACACACACACACACACACACACAGAGTCAATTTATTATTGTCTTCTTTGGCATGCAAACCGCATGTTGCAGTTGCTGGAGAGGATGTTTTTTCTTTTTCAACCTTTCACAATTAGATTTCCACCTCGAGCTGTTTTCATATTAAATTCCTTTAAATTATTGACTGTAAATAAATGGGGATTTCATCATCATAATTAATTAATGGAACAGGGGAGCATTGTGTCAATATTGGCACGTTGTTAGCAAGAGCAGCTGGATTTATAGATTTATTAAATATCTGGGGTTGTAAGCATGTTGTAAATGTAAATTCATAGAATTCTGAATTTTTGGCAGTGATAAGATAGTTTGGGATAAAGAGAACATACAAAAAAAGGTTGTGACTGTGATCGAAAATATATATGTGATTAATCTTCAGCTCATAATCCTCTGATTTTCATTCCTTTCTCTCTGTGCAGGTGGTTCTGGCGCTGGGGAGTGCTGTACTGGTGTGATGTTAGAGTGTCACTGTCAGTTTGCCCTTTAGCAAGGCTCTGAGCAAATACAGCACATTTTAAATTAAGTTGCAGATGCTGTCAGGTCTGGGCAGATAACTTCTACCAGCTGCTATTTGTTTCCAAAAAACTGTACCAGAATCCTTACGTCACCATCCAGCTAGAGTACATGTGACTGGTGGCTCGAGTATCACTGAAGACACTGAGATCATGTCCACAGTATTTGTGTGAGAATTTGGGGATTTCAGCAACCCAGGAGTTGATATTCCACATTTAAAAACTGTTGATGGTGGGACAGGTGATGGTCAATTTTACTGTAAGTACAAATTTACTTACACATCCATAATTTTGTACACAAAAATTTCTAGAAGATTTCCCTGGAAATAACTATGTAATCTGATCCAAATTAGAGGGGAAATGTAAAGTTCTACAAGTTATTGTTGGTAAGCTAGTTATATAAGCAGTTGATTTTCTTGAAAGAGCTCCCTCATTCAAAAAAGTAGGACAGCTAACTGCTTCTGAGCTTAACAAGAAAATGGCCTGAATTTAACTTGGGTCTGTTCATTACTGAGTGACAGACAGGTTTGAGTTTTAATCTGCTAAATCAATACTGGGCAGCTCTTCATAAAAATGTTTTCCGCAAATCTTTTTCCACCAACACTGCTATTGATGGCTACTGATGGTGGTCCACCAAAATAAAAGAAAACAGACTTTTTTTAAACTGCTAGAGCCATGCAATAAATTTGCCAGTACTTAAAATAATTACTTCAGTTTTATACCCCCCCCCCCCTCCCCACAAGAGTTTTTTTAGGGTCTTACTAATGTCTTCATTATAATATTTTTTGTCATGACACCAATCATCACAGCAATCAAACAGCTTTGGATTTGTTGTGAGTTGTCTCTTATGAGCTAGCTAGCAGCTTCCCCTTGCTTGCATCTTTTGTGCTAAGCTAGGCTAGATACCACCTGAAGCTGTTGATGTAGTGAACACACAGAGAGGAAAGTGATTGCCATCTTCTTCTAATCTGACTCTCTGGTTACATCTCAAGCCTCTTATATGCATCTATGTTTCCCAAATTTATGGCTTTTGCTTGTGTCTTAGTTCTGCCCCTGTAAGATGCGAAGTAAAATGCGAGGAGACAGGAATTGAGGAAACACATTTTAGAAACATGAGACATCCTTTTCTTTGATCCTTAATCTGAAGCGTTTTATGTCCAATAAAGGGTCATAAAAGACTTCTGCAAAGGATGCTTACATGTATTCTCACACATGGCTCCTCCAGGCCAGAAAGAAGAGTCTTGGGACATCTTCAATCTTTGCTCAACCAGAACAACTTCCAGGGTGAGTGAGGATTGAGGAAGGCAGAGCAATTATATAAGAGACTTGAGATGCAACCTTGCTTTGTCCAGTGGTATGTCCACTATCCCCTCCTCACCAAGGTTTTCAATGGAGTAGTATCTCTGCTTGCTGTCTACCCTGACAGTCTCAGAGTAGGGACTTCCCACGCCGTAGCCAATGATGTAACCACGAACCAGGATGTTGGGGCTCAGGGGTGGAGTCCAGGACATAATGATGCTGTTGGGCAGAGGCCTGACATGCAGAGAGCTGGGCTGGTGGGGCACCTGACTCTCTGTAAAAACACAACAATGGAACATCACACCAAAGAAGAAGATGACAGGGTGATTGCAGTTCCTGACCTCCAACAGCAGTAGTCCTAAAGCCAACCCTGCATCTTCAGTCATAGAGACCTAGAGAAACCTTAGCCAACAGATGCTAACCCTGTTAGCTGTGTATTAAGCCTAATAAGGCATGACACTTTGTGTTGTTCCACAGTATCAGATTAGATCAGATTAGTGTGCTCTCAGTCCCGGGGGGAGACACTTCATATCACTTTATTGAGTGACAATCCATTGAAATGAGATTTGTGTATTCCTCTGTCCCAGCATAGAAACACAGTTAGCATGGATGTGTTTGTTTTTTAACTGACCAGAGCATCCTCCTCTCAGCCTGAGGTCAGCTTGTCTAATTATTCTTCTAGAAATCATTAGGCAACTATACTAAAAGAGCTGGCAGCCCGTTTGTTAGTTGTTGGCTGTTTTTTTCTCTTCATTTCTTTCTTTCATTCATACTGTCTCTCTTTCTTTTCTCAATTAAAGCAAGCTGTAAAAATAACACTTGTAAAAATTCCTTCCCATTAATAATTATTCTTTATTTTTTCCCTCCAGCAGCCAAATCACCTGGTCTTAAACTCGGGATGATGTTATATGTGTCCAACATCAGTGAAAGTTTTCCCTTTAGCATGGCTCTGAGCAAATACAGCACATTTTAAATTCACAGTGAGTTGCAGACCCAGTGAGGGATAAACAGTGTAAAATAAATCTGGACACATAGGTTTTACCACATGGTATTTGTTCCCACACAACAGACTTTCAGAACTTCATATCTCCATTGCAAAGTAGAATTGTGGAAGAACCTAGAACTGAGACAAAAACCTGATTATTATCTGCTTATACTGAGGTCATATCCTCACTATTTCTTTGGGACCTTGGGGGTTTCAGCAACACAGGAGTTGATATTCCACAGGTGAAAACTGCTGATAGTGGTACTGGTGACTTGACAAGTTAAAATGTGGCAATCTCTGGATCAGCAGTACATAAAAGGCTTCAGTATCTTACCACAAGAATTTGATTCTAGTCAGCAAGAAATGGGCTTTGAAACAATTTAAAACTTAAGGTTGGGAAATAAAACAAGTTACAGATCCATTTTTTAAGCCTCAACCTTGGAGCCAACCAAGATTGTTTTTATAACAACCTCCCAGTTGGATTACTCTTCATTAAACACCAGCAAACTACACTTTTTGTTGAATGATACACAGAGAGACACTTTTCTACTGCCAGCAAAGTAAAAAAAAAAGAGTCTTGAGAGTGGCGGCCAACATCCAAATTGTTGATTCTTCAAAGTCGAATGGTTTAGATTACCAAACATCATGGTTTTTGGTCCTGTATACTCCTACTTTAACCTAGAATCCACTGATGGGTACCTACAAGAGGAGCTATTTCTGTTGTTGTACTGTGTTTTAACTACATTGCTTTTTGACTAGATTTTTAATCATTTGTCATCTTTTGCTTTGCAAACATAATTGTGATGTATTGTATAGAAAGCTTGTGTATCTACTGTACCCTGTAATCTTAGAATCCGTTTATCAATTGTGTACTCTACATACTGTTTATATATGATAGATGGGGTGCTTACAGCAAAGAGTTACTGTACCTTCTGTTGGCTTTTTCATGAAAATGCAAACTTTAATTTTTGTACTTTGACATTTCCTTGAATACTTTTTCTTTTTCTTGGCTCTCCTTCAACATTATGTCCTGTTCTCTATGTCCGCTCCTCTTTTCCTTTACATTCTTTTCATCTCTCTTCCCCTCCCCCTCTTTCCAACCTTCCCATCTGTTCCCTCCTGCCTTTACTCCTTCCCCCCCTTGAGGCAAATCTTCCATCCATCCGCCTCAGTCCTTGACTGGTCAAATATTTATGTGTGTATTGGGACAGTGTAAGTATTTACATGCTGTTGCACAGATTTCTGCTACCATACACACACGTACACACAGAGCTTGTATTTCTATAGGTGAGACATTCACTGACATTATGAATTCCCTTGCTCCTTACTCAAACTAAACCTGATTCTAACCTGAACCATAAAATCAAGTTTTCACATTAACAAACCTTTGAAGGTTAAGGATCAGCCAAAATGTCCTCACAACATGGTTTTGTAATAAAATCTATCCATGCAGTCACAGGAAGACATACACAGACACATAAACACACACAAACACATGCAATCTCTGCCACTCTTTTACCATCCAGGTCGTTCTCCGGTGTCTCAGCGGTGTACCAGTCACTAGCCGGACCTGTTCCATTGGTTGTCATGGCTGCTACCTGGAAACTGTACTGACTGCCCTTCTCCAGACCTGGAGAGAGAAAGCATGTCTTTATAACTGACATTTACTGTAGCTACCTTAATTATTTACATACAAAATATACAAGTGCCCATCTGTGCTACTATTAACATTTCTGCAGTTAATGATTATAGTGGAAAAATGAACAAAACTGATGGTTTCACAAGTGTTTTTTATTCTTTTTTTTTCCTATTTAACATTTATTTGAAACAGCATGGCACAGTGATGCAGTGGTTAACACTGTCCTGTCACCTCACAGCAAGAAAGTCCTGGGCCTTTCAGTGTGGAGTACGAATGTTCTTCCTCTTCCCGCCTGAGTTCTCTCCCGGTACTATGACTTCCTCCCACAGTTCAAAGACGTGCGGATTAGGCTGATTTGTGAATGTGAGCGTGAGTGGTTGTTTGTCTCTAAGTGTCAGCCCTGTGATAGACTAGTGACCTGTCCAGGATGTACCCAGGTCCAGCCCCCCTGCGGCCCTCTAAAGGATAAGTGGTATAGATAATGGATGGATGGATGGATGAATGAATGGAATTGTTTGTAATTAAAACCTCAGTGTTGATGAACACAAACACATAGGATTCGCCTGGATCACTGCACCACACCCCAGGGTTACTGTATTTGATGATCATCAGTTAGAAATAACTTAACTGATCAGGTTTTCTCAATCTGTTCTTAATTTTCTAAAGCTCGGATCCATTCTTGACTGATTTCTCTTCCATAGCAACAGCAGGTGAGGCTGCTGTTAATTTCCAAGTAACAGTTAAATTTAGAAATAGCACTCATTATGTCTGCTCTAATTGTCTTTACAGTTAAAAAAGGCATTTAATTTGGCAAAGGACACATGATGGCTTTTTATCCTCTTAAAACACAAAGTTTAACACCTGAGGCTGCACAATCACTGTACTGTTGGCTTTGTCCTTATTATTATCAAACTGTCACTTTGACTCAGTTTTCCACAGAAAGTCCTAATCAGGTTCTTCCTCACCAGAATGTAAACCATTTACACTTTAGTGACTACATGACCTTATCAAAGCCCCACTGGTAAGGCTTTAAGAATAGCACCATCATCGACATGTTGCTTGTTCTGTCAAACACTTCTAGAGTGTTGCTGTAATAAGCAATGCAGCCTCTATTGTGTGCCATAAGGATTTTAAAGAATCAGTGTTTTCCTTTCTGGTTTGTGTTAATTCAGTTTTCTGTTTTATTGGTGGGAATGCAGAGCCCAAAGAAAACATATTTCCATAGGAGGATTTTCAGTTTGAACCCACCAACCTTTGGTTCAAGTCACTGCGAAGCTAACAAGGCAGAGAACAAACAGATGAGTTTAAATCCCCTGATTACTATGTTTTCTAGCTGGAGATGTTATTACTGTTTCACTTTCCTCAGTCTTCTGTGTAATGTAGAATTAATAAAGGTTTAATTTGTTGCCTTTTTTAATCTCCTCAGTTAAGCCACAATTTCTTATTTTATTTATAAAAATTCAGTTTTTTATCCTGAGAAAGAAAAGGGGTGATTATTGCTGTCAGCTAGTCTTGCAGATTCAACATACACACACAAAAACAAGAGGATAACACCTGCCACTGGGGGACAAATTCATGTGCAGACAGACAGATGAAGATAACCATAGGTGGAAAATAATGAAAGTGAAGTTCAGTTTCATTCAAATCCAGAAAACCGCAAATGGAAATAATAGCTGGTGGCTGTTTGAACGCAGTGTAGACGTAGACTAATGCAAATGCAGCTTTTCTTTCTCAGAAGAGAAAACGCATACACACATGCATGCAGTCTACTTTGTTCACCACCTACACATTCAAACATTTCTAGACACACGGAAACACACACATATCTTGAGGATTAGAATCCTCTCTTTGTCATTATTTGAACGTTCATGTCGGACAAATTGTCAGCCTCAGGTGTCCTTCAGTGAAAACGTTAATCTGTGTTCTTCTTGAATCCCCACATATGGAAATTAGAGCCTGGCATACTTTTAGAATCAAAGGCATTTTTGTTTCAGTCAAAAAAACAGAGTCCAGTTTTACTGCATTTATTTGGAAGTTAAATTGAGGTCAAATGTTTAAGTCTGGTGACATTCTAAAATTCAGTTTTCTTAATGTCAACAAATCCAATTAAAAAGCCAAAACTATCAACAAATTGATCCTGTATCAAAAGCCTGATTTATTTTATTCCAACCCATTTTCATCCCAGTGTGTCAAATATTGGCGTTTTTATACGCATAAAAATATGTGTTTTGCCACCTCAGCATCATGGTTAGTTTTAGGCACAAAAACTACGTACATCTTTAGGTTTAGGGAAAAGAACGTGTGTTGGGCTAAAACACACCAATTAAAAAATAGAGCATCACACATCTGAGTCAAACTCTGCTCTCTTGTAGGAAAGTCCAAAGTTTGTTTGACCCATCCATTTGCCCTAGCTATTGCCTTCCAAATTCTTTTCCCATTATATTCTTGAAAACCTTGCGTCTCCTACAGACCCCAAGGGTCCACTTGAGCACCTTTATACAATGCACAAAGTAACTCTATACATCACAAAGAGATGCTTGACAAAACATCAGCCTTTGATGCTCCAGGAATGAGAACTGGCTCTTTATTTATCTGTACCATAATGTTCTATTGCTGTCCAAAAGCTATTACTGTAAATACTCACTAGGACACCAAATTATATTATTCTGCTGCTGATAATAGTCCAATAAAAAATGCACTATTTCTTCCTGTTTGAGTAACATTTGATAAGAGCTAAAGTGCCCAGGAGTTGTAACGAAATGCCAAACTTTAAATAAGTGCCCTGAACTTCTTAATTCAGACAAAATAAAAGAAGAATGAATCCACTTAAAGAGCCACACCTGTGAACAGGTACCAGAAGTTGTTGGGTTCGATGGCCTCTTGGTCTCCACGCCGACCTGTCTTCCTGTATTTTATCTTGTATGCTGTGATGATGCCATTCTGGGTGTTGTGTGGAGGTGGCTGCCATGACACCTTGATGCTCTGAGAGACAAGATAGGGTAAACAATAAGTACACTAATTAAACTGCAAAGTAGTCTAATGGAGGACACTAACTGATTAAGACTACGGGCTCCTGGACACAGACGATTAAAAGACCCAATCTCTTGTAGAAGGACGACCCGGACAGAGTGATACTGTATGTGTGAAAAACATCAAAAGGAATCTCCAGAGTATTATCTTAACAGTGATGTCATGGCCATGCATGCACTCAGGTTTTTGAAAATTTAAACAACAGAAAATACACAGAGTTGTTAAATGTGTGCCCATGTTTTCACATGTGTATAACATTTGGACGTAGCATGATATTTGACCAGTAATCAGCAGAAAAACCCATCTGGCTTCTGTTGTGTGTCTGTTATTGTTCAGATGAGTCTGATGTTGGGCTGGTATCTATGTGGTTATGTTTTTATTTGCTTATGTTTGTTTTATTTATTGTTCTAGTAAAAGGCTGTGGTAGTTTGAATTTCACTGTGTTTGTGGAGGTGGGGCATATACGGTATTTGAGTGTGTGTATCTGTGTGTGCTTGGGTGTGTGTTCCATGAATTTTAATTACGTTATTTGCATGTTAACGACCCACCTATGAAGCATACACACACACACGCACACTCACACAAAGAGCAGATGTTTGCTCAGCCTCCAGTGTGCTCTGGTCTGCAAGGCAGCTGCCGTCAACCAACCTGCTGATATACTCAGCACAACCATGTGTTTGTGTGTGTGCATGCATGCATGCATTAATGAATAAAGATTAATGAATTAGAAAAGTAATAATAATAATAATCATTCCTTTATTAGTCCCACGTGGGGAAATTTCTCACTGATGGCAGCCCTGTCTGAGTTGTTGCCTGGCTACCAGGGGCAACTTAGGGTTCAGTGTCTTATCCCAGCGACACTTCAACATATGACTGGGGAGACCAGGAATCAAACCGCCAACCTTGTGGTTAAGAAACAACTGTTCTGCCTTCTGAGCTGCAGCCTTGAGTCCTGGATGGATTATGGTTTTCTTCTGAATGAATTCATTACTACATTTATTAACAGTATAATCACCAGTAGGTGGTTGTGATAGATTGCAGGTGGAATCTCACTCCTGAGACTGGGATTTATAGCATCTTTGGTTAAGTTTAGGCTACAAAAGCACTTAGGCCACAATAAGTGTAGGGCTGTGGTTTTGGTTAAATGCATATAAGTAAGTTGTGTGGAACTGTGAACTTTTTCTTTCCTAACTCCTCGTGCTGGTTGAGTATTAATAAGAAATAGTACACTTTTTCCTGCTACTGCTGCTACTAGTACAAACAAACAAATAAAAGAACTACAGTATGTGAGTGACAAGACTCATTTCTGCCTAAAGGTTTCATCTATGCCTCTGATCTATAGTTGAATAAAAACATGTCAAAAAAGGCAAGAAAGAAGAAAACTGATAAGTAAACATGGATATAAACAAATTTGTCTTCACATTGCCATGTCTGGGTCCTGGGATATACAAAAAGCTGGATTGATACTGTGGCTACCTACAGAATATCGTTGCCTTTAAGTAAGATCCTCTTTGCAATGTTCACGAGAACCATCCACTTGATGGTTGTGTCTGAAATCACTCCCTTTTCACTCATTCACCATTCCCTGTCTAATGTACACTAAGTAGTTCACTCACTAGGGGCAGCTGTGGCTCAGAAGGTTGTCCCCTAACCACAAGGTTGGTGTTTGGATTAATGTTCTCTCCAGTCCACATGTCAAAGTGTCCTTGGTCAAGACACTGAACCCCAAGTTGCTCCCGCTAGCCAGAGCAGCGCCTTGCAGTTACAGCACTGCCGTTGGTGTGTGTGTGTGTGTGAGAGTAATAGCTGCCTTGGTTCTGTACCAGAGACAAATTCATTCTGTGTAACTGCCTTGGTTCTGTACCAGAGACACATTCATTCTGTGTGTAACATACTTGGCCAGTAAAAGTGATTATCATTATCAATAGCCAACAGATCATCATGAAGAACTATGCGACAAGAATTTGAGCATTGCGGGATTGTTAGCAGAAAGTAGAGTACATGGCATGTGCACTACTTTTTACATTCCACTGTGTAATTTTTGAGTGCATTATATAGTGGATATATTTACACCTTCAGCATTCAGACACCATTAGAACATGGCGAACACAGTATATAGTGCATTATGGGGAGTGATTTCGGACACAGTCAATGACTCACGAGACCACCAGATGTGATATATGTTGATGTCAGATTTAACTGATACTACTATTTTCAAAATGTTCTTTACATTACTTTTGTTGTTGACATCAACAATATGAACTGAGAGCCAAAGAAAGGGTAGGGAAGTCACCGCTGTCTGACCATGCAGCATCATTTTTAAGAAATACTGCCTTGAACAGGGCACGCCATGATCACACAGCTGAGTGAAACTAGAGTATGTTTAAAGGTGCCCTGGTGTTCAGTTTTAATACACACCTGCCACCATGATCAACTAGAGTATGTTTAAAGGTGCCGTGGTGTTCAGTTTTAATACACACCTGCCAGCCAATCAGAAACCATTATATTCTACTCTTATGGCACCATTTTTAGTAACAGCATTGAAGTGGATTGTCATTCATCTAATCCACTCAGAGCCAGACGGCTACTTACACATGTACAGATTGTATCGCACACATTCACACATCCTTTGATGGTGTCATGCACACACTCAGAGTGATGGTGTGTGTATCCTTCCATCAGTTGGGGGATAAGTCAACGGGCCAATGAGCAGTTTAAATATTCAGCCAGTGTTACTGTGACGACGGCCACAGCGGAATTCATTAACATTTAGCTGCACCTGTTCCCTCTGCTGCTCTTCATCCTACTAATTGATTACAGCAGAACTGATTACTGAAAAGGAGGAGGGGTGGACAGGTGAGGAGAGGCAAAAAGGATGGAAGGAGAAAAAGAAGAAAGGGAAAATCTGAATAAAAGTGTGTGTTGGCCAAAGTTCTCTTTCTCACTCTGGTCAAACATCACATGTGCTTCATTAACTAATTAGTCACTTCGACAAAGCTGACATCCAACTGTGTTATCTATGGAAATTATACAGAAATTATAAATTCAGAAATTTCCCCTGTGGGACTAATACCGTACTTTCTCTCTCTCTCTCTTTATTCATGTCAGAACAACTCCCACAGAGACACAAAGGGGCAAATCAGCCACGAAGGACATCAACAGCTATGACAACATTCCTTAGATTTTTTTTCAAGAGATTGTTAGTACTATTAATAATGTAACCATATCTCCATTACTGCAGTAGACTACTGGTATTATTGCTGCTACTATTGCTATAATAGCTACTATCCTGCTATTATTACTGCTGCTGCCGCCACCACTTTTAATGCTGTTATTGCGTGCTGTTACCATAGCATGGTAAGAAGGGGTTCTGTGGGTGGTGCACCACCCCAACATCAAGGGGCCACACCCATACTGCTTTAAGGAGATGGTATATATTTAACCTGTTTTATTTTGTGGAATTCATATAGTCAGACTAGTTAGCTAATAGGTTGCTAAATTTAAAATAAAATAATAGTCTGGAACATATAACCTATAGCTTTTTCAGTTTGTTTGCTGTTATTAATTGAAGTTCCATAAGAAGCCTATATATTGACTTTCAAGTCCTCTGCACAGTATTAATCAATGAGGAATGAGGGATGGGAGGGATGAAAAGCAAGCAAACAAACAAACAAACAAAGCAAAACATGTCCACATCGCCACCTGAAAACAGGTGCTGGCGTTACAGCTATTGATGCTACAGCTACTGCTACTTCTCTACTGCTGCTGCCACTATTAAGGCCAATTCACACTGATCATGTCTTTAGACGCATTTTTATGTACGTCCTTCACATGACTCATAAAAAAATAGACCTCTTTTCTATCAAATGTCTCAATTCACATGGATACCCCTTGATGCCTTGCAATTTTATGCTTCATCTTTTTTTTCCCCTTTTGTCTGACGTGTCTATTTAAATGTAGCCTCCAAAGACAGCTTGTTAAAATCACACAAATCCCTTGATATTTTCTCTTATAAATTTTTACTGGTATGTGTCATGACTGATAAGGCTCCTGAGGTAACTCTGACGTTATGTTTCATTTTCCCCCCACCCTCTATAAGGAGCCAGGGAAAATCAATAAAATTTAAAAATCCATACATAAAAACATTGCTGATTTCTCCCAGATGATGCTACATGAAAACTATGTTTATGTGGTACATTTCCGCTGTCAGTCAGCCTGGTGAAGGCCATTGTCCATTAACCCTTGTCCTGTTTGTGGTCAGTATCACCCCAGAGCCTCTTTAGCTGTTTAAAAAAACATATTTATCATTATTCATCTGTGACATATCATGATGAATCCTAATTTTATAAAAATTGCAGAAAATGATTTTAATTTGACGTTTGTGTTTTATTTTATAAGCAGCTACACACTGTTAATGTTTGACCCCAGTGATAAACTCCATTAAGTGCTAGGGGCTTTCACATATTTTGCTTCTGTGGTTGATGTAAAAGGTACAACTGATCAATACAAAAACGTTCACACACAATCAGATGGATCCCAGCACACACATGCACATGCAAGCTCTCTGCCAAATAATACATACATACACATATGCACAGGAGCAGACACATACAGACTCCCTGTCATACACACATCAGGGTCCTGAACCTGAAAAGTGTTACATGGAACTCTACCATGGGGGGAAGCATTGGGAGCAATCTCCTGGAAAACTGCTACCCCTCATGGGTGGAGCAAACACAAAAAAAAGTGAGAAAAGGGGCTGTTTCAATCATTCTTTTCATGTACTATTCATTGTTTCTCTTGGATGAGGTCTGAATTAATAATGAGTTTAAAAAAAAAAAAAAGCTAGGTCCGCTGTCTGTGGATAAAAAACCTGAACGCTTGACCCCTACAGTGTGGGGGGCTTCGAGGGAAGGGTCACTGCAAATCAAACTCATGGTCTGATGAGTATG